CTCCAGAGGAGCTGAGGTGACCAAGTGGTTAAGGCGTCTGACATTCAGCTACCACTAGCCCTCCACCACCGGGTCGCAGGTTTGAGACCTCCATGGGGAAGTCGCCAGGTACTGGCCGTAAGTCGGTGGTTTTTCTCTGGGAACTCCGGCTTCCCTCCACCACTAAAACCTGGCACGTCCTTAAATGACCATAGCTGTTAATAGGACTTAAACACAAACAAACCAAACCCTCTCTCCATAGAACCTATATACATATATATATATGTGCCAATTGAAAAAAGATAATGCTACAATTTGAGTACTTCAGAATTTACACAGGTGATCGTTTAGGCCCATGGGCCTCTTGTTTTTATCCAACACCAAATTAAAGGGAGGTTACTGTATATATGAGAAACCACCATGCAGTAGGACAGTGAAGTCTTTAACTGAAGATAACATTAATACACTGAAGCCATATGCTTTAATTAATACAAATATATGTAGCTATTACAATCTTATTGATTATCATAGAAATTATTTAGTGTGAGAAAATTATAAAGTTTTATTAATGTGTTTTAAGCTCTGTTATTATTACAATAATATTTAAATATATCTATAAACTTTATTTATTTTACAACAATTATGCAACAAATTATATTTCAACTTAAATTAATCATTTAATTAATGTAAATATATGTAGCTATTAAAATCTAATTGATTATCATAGAAATTATTTATTGTGAGAAAATTATAAAATTTTATTAATGTGTTTTAAGCTCTGTTATTATTACAATAATATTTAAATATATCTATAAACTTTATTTATTTTACAACAATTATGCAACAAATTATATTTCGACTTAAATTATAATCACTCTTGGTTATAATATTTATTCTAGGTATTATAACAGTTGTCTTTAGTATAGCTTCAATTTTATTTGTTTGTTACTTTATGACCATGATTTTTTTTCTTCTTTAAATGACCTTATGACTAAGAAATAGAATACATAAAACTCAATAACAATGATTGAAAAATTGTTGCTAATAGAAACCTAAAGCATTAACTCATTCACCCCTGAAATTTCATAATGAACTATTCCACCTTTGAATTGGAAGGGTTCAAATGTGTCTGCAGGGGTGAATGAGTTAAACAAAAAGATAAAACATCAGTAAGGACTCGCTCATAATGTTAAGGGGAGATAAGTTGCAAATACTCTACAAACAGACAGGTCTAGGATTGACTTTTAATAAAAAAAAAAAATGAAATGTTGCAAATTGCTACCAGAAACAGCTTTAGTCATCCATGAGCGTTGACAGTCTTTGAATTCCAGTCTGCTAGTAAGGAAGTGTTTCATTGATTTAGGAGGCACAGTACTATAGTAGTCTAGTGGTAGGACACCGGGCTGAGTTGTGACTGAAGGGTTGCGGGTTCGAGTTATGGCACGGCACTGTGCATGTGTTGTATATTAGAGCAAGATACTATACTCAGCTTGTACCAGTGTACCAAGCTGTAAATGAGTGTGTGGTTGCATTGGGCAGTGCTAGAATTATTGAATAATTGCTGTGAGTGCCGAAATGGCAGCACCAGCTGTATGCTCCCAAGGGAGTTGAGGAAGATATCATCTGGTAGCATAGGCCCTATAACCACGGATAATCATTTGTGAACCCCTTTGAGACGACCTATGAACTAGGTTGTGATAAAGCGGTATATAAGAACCTCAAATTATTATTCATTATTATTATTGATACTTTGTATCAGGTGCAACTTATGTCAGACTTGTAAACAAGGTCATAAAATGTCTGATTTGGGATTCATTTTTTTAACTTTTGATAAAAAAAATGTATTGTCTCAATAATTAAATGTTGTATCAATTGAAAAATAAAGGTGCAATAGAAAGATGTGTAAAGAAAAGTGGAAGAGACAACTGTACAATGTTAGCTTTTAACCAAGTAAAATGTATCCATAGCTCAGATAATCCTCCCTCATTAGGAGGGAGACTCCCTCATTTCGACCAAAATTTACTAATCTCCCTCAAAACTCCTGTGGTCAATTAAATGGTCTGCTAGTTACTGTAGGGTGTGTGTAGTGATAATAAAACAGGTGTGTCTGAATCAAATGAATGCTTTTTGGATACATAAAGAGGGAAAGATTAACTGAGCAAAGTAGTTTCAGAGGGCCCGGGAGATCTCCCTCATTGTAAATGTGGAACGAGGTAGATCTCCCGCATTGTAAATGTGGAACGAGTGAGATCTCCCTCATTGTAAATTTGGAACGATGGAGATCTCCCTCATTGTAAATTTGGAACGATGGAGATCTCCCTCATTGTACATGTGGAACGAGGGAGACCTCCCTCATTGTAAATGTGTAACGAGGGAGATCTCCCTCCTTGTAAATGTGGGACGAGGGAGATCTCCCTCATTTTAAATGTGGAACGAGGGAGATCCCCCTCATTGTAAATGTGGAGCGAGGTAGATCTCCCTCATTGGAAATGTGGAACGAGGTAAATCTCCCTCATTGTAAATGAGGAACGAGGGAGATCTCCCTCATTTTAAATGTGGAACGAGGGAGTTCTCCCTCATTGTAAATGTGTAACGAGGGAGATCTCCCTCCTTGTAATGTGGAACGAGGGGGGTCTCCCTCATTGTAAATGGGGAACGAGGGAGATCTCCCCCCTTTTTAATGTGGAAAGAGGGGGATCTCCCTCATTGTAAATGAGGAACGAGGGAGATCTCCCTCATTGGAGGTTTCAGAGGTCTGACGCCTATGTGTATGTCATTCACTGATCAAACACATAGGTGTCAGACCTCTGAAACCTCCAATGAGGGAGATCCCCCTTGTTCCACATTTACAATGAGTGAGATCACCCTCGTTCCACATTTACAATGGGGGAGATCCCCCTCGTTCCACATTTACAAGGAGGGATATCCCCCTCGTTCCACATTTACAATGTGGGAGATCTCCCTTGTTCCACATTTACAATGAGAGACATCTCACTCGTTCCACATTTACAATGGGGGAGATCCCCCTCGTTCCACATTTACACTGAGGGAGATCTACCTCGTTCCACATTTACAATGGGGGAGATCCCCCTCGTTCCACATTTACACTGAGGGAGATCTACCTCGTTCCACATTCACAATGAGGGAGATCTACCTCTTTCCACATTTACAATGAGGGTGTTCTCCCTCGTTCCACATTTCCAATGAGGGAGATCTACCTCATTGTAAATGTGGAACGACGGAGACCTCCCTCATTGTAAATGTGGGACGAGGGAGATCTCCCTCATTGTAAATGTGGAACGAGGGAGATCTCCCTCATTGGAGGTTTCAGAGGTCTGACACCTATGTGTATGTCATTCACTGATCAAACATTTACTAATAATATTGCGGCGTTGTACATTCTGTTTTGATGAATTTACCATTGGGTCACTGTGGGAAAAGTTCAAATTTCAGTGAGCATTGTACTACCATTCTTCAAAATTATAAATATTGATACAGTTTACTCCGTCTAAAACGGACACTACTTAGACCACACAATTCATTGTTACATACTTTCAATGTTCAATCATAAAATGAAATGGCAAAGCAATAAAGAACGAAATAAGTAACAAGTTTCCAATCTTTTCATAAAACATCTTCTCTGTAGTTAAATGATCTAGCCATATGATCTAGTGTGTTACAGAATACACACTACTCAGTATTCAGGAACACCATTCATGTGCCCAGTCAGGCCATCAACAGATGACGATCTGGCCTACATTTAACTCAAATGACCCTGAGTAAGTCATTGACCTTAATCTAGGTTTTATAATACATTTCCCATGGTTAGGCATTGCCCTCTGGCTGGTTGAGGAGTTTCACCTATAGGTGTCACTCCTGTAATTTACGTGTAGTTTCTCTTATTTAACTCTATGGGATGATCATTGCATTTATGAAGTGTTCCAGGTTAAGGTATTGTCACACCTTACGGTCACGCACGTGGTTGACTGTAAGGGGGGGGGGGGATGACCGTAGTTGACTGTAGTAGACCGTAGGTAACATTAGTTAAACGTACTTAGAGGTAGTTCAATGAAGTTATAAACGTTAATTAAGGGAGTCACTCAGCACCCTAGTAATCCGTACTTAACAGTACTGTCAACATACTTTAAACGTAGTCCAACCCTAGGCCGTCCCTATATGACCCTACTTGACCGTAGTGTTAACCGTAGTGCCATGTTACTACGGTCAACTACGGTAAACACTACGGTCAAGTAGGGTCAATTACGGTCAACTAGGGTCAACTATGTTAGAACTATATGGTCACAGTAGGGTCTTCAGATACAAACTACTTTTTGAACATGTTGAAAAAAATTTGGCTAACCGTGGCCAAATAATTGGTTTCTTAAAATTCAAACTATGTTTATAACTACATCTTACTACGTTTAATATGACATATATTACGGTCTACTTCAGTCAACTAAGGTCAACCCCCACTACGGTCAACTACGTGTGTGACCGTAAGGTGTGACTACAGCATATTATTATGATGATGCCCGGGAAAAAAATAAACATCATGAGAATTGTCAGAATCTGAAATGAAATGGAAATAAATGAAAGAATATTTTCATCCAATTATTAAGGTTTGCTTAGTTTATGTTTTGATCAGTTGAGGAAAAACGCTTCAATCCTTTCCATCATAATTCGTTCTTGTGATTGAAAATGAATTGATATTTTCATGTTAGGTTTTGGATAATAAATGTGTGCTGTTTATTTTGTGACTGAGTGGCAATTTTTCCTTTGCTTGGAAATCAGGTACTCGTTTCCAAGCAAGAATGTCTGCCACTTCCTTTGTTACAATGACCGGAAGACATATGGTCAATGCAGGGAACATCTCTGAAGCATTCTGAATAATCATTATTTTTTTTACTCTCAATTAAAAGCTTTTTAACTTGCATTGTCAGTTTTAATAAACAGTTTAGATCATAATTATGAGAATGCTTAAAGTTCATTTAAAGTTCGTTTTTTTATTTCTGTCTTTGCAGTGAAGGAGGAGGGGATTTGTTCAGTTCCAAATTCATCACAAGATTGGCTGGTGTGGCCGTGGATTCGGAGCCGGAGTCTGATACAGATTTCAGCGAGTCGGAGCCAGAGGAAGCTGGTGGACCACGTGTCCGAAGAATGGGCAGCAACTTGTCAAAGAAGCCTGAGGAGGCTAGCAGCTGGATGTCGTGGTGTGCTCTGCTTTAACACTTTAACATTTAAATTAAACCAAATAATACAAATTTTGTATTTTGTTATACAGTCTAGGTTGTCAATCAGCAAGGGCCTCATATCAGATTATCATGATATTTAATTGCTATTACCTACCTGTATTGAAGAGCCATGGAAATTTGATTGGGAACTTTTTCATGTCTTTTTAACTTCATTTCAACTTTTCTGACTATACGACTTTCACATGTGATTAGACATGATGCCTCTGATCAGATGGGATCAACATTTTTAAAACCAACTTTTGTATTTTGAGATCTACCAGCATTGTACTTTAAACGTCAGATAGGTCCTGTTTTGGACATGACCAAATATTGACCCTGTAATGTTAGGTCATCATGCCAAAAATAATTTAAGATTTCTTAAGAAGAAAAAACGTTTAGAATATACCTATTTCTACCACTATTGGTAGTTAACATAGTGAGAACCCCAAAATAAATGTTTGCTAGCCCATATTTAACAATCAATGTTGTCAAATATTTCTCTTGAAGTTGCACTCTTAAAATAATAAGGACATAACACAAGATTGTTATTTCAGCATGGATTTGGTATTGCTGAATATCTGGTAAAAGAACAGACCAGATTATTATTTTCAATTAATCGTGAACTGATGAAATACATGTAAAATGTGTGACTAAATCTGTTGACATATACGCAGGAGTGAAAATAAAAGCATAGCTATAGACTTACACTTGATGTTAGCCCAAGTTTTTTTATCACTTACACAAAATATTAAATGTCTTACAAGTACTCTTTAGGTTACATATACACAAGGAAAGAAAATCACTAATTGTTCATTCTCAATCTCATATCCATATACAAACAACAAGCTTTTGAAATACAAAATATTGAAGAAAAAAGTTTTTGCTTTTATTTTCACAAAGCTAAAGCATAATATATGTTCCGAAGAGATTCGGGCATATATTGTTAACATACAAGAAGCGGAGATAAAAAAAAAAAAGTTTTAATTTTAAGCAATTAAAGACGGTTTAGTCAAATAATGGCAGTTTCTACACTGCTCAGCAATTTAGGAGTGAGACAACTAGTTCGCCCGTTGTCAGTATAATGTGATCAGGTGGGGTGTCCTGCTGGGTGTTTTAGGCAGTATTTTTCAGTGAGGAAGCACTATAAAGTCGGCATCGCAGTTCTGTGCTATTACAAAGAGACAAACACAAACATATCGCAGCCTCCCAAAACACACGTATACACTACATGCATGCATCTTGCACACAGGGAGGCCATCCTTTAATGACCATAGCTGTTGATAGGACGTTAAACAATGCTAAACCAATCCAATCATTGTTTGGGAATTGGGTAATTTCAAGGAAGACACAACTGCAGCACGCAGTGATTTAGGATAGATCATTTACAAATGTGGATATATGTAACAACTGACTTAAGGTTGGAGAGCTGAATCAGTTCAGGAAGATGCAATACAGCATGCTGTGAGGTAGAACAGAAGGTCCAGGTCCCTCAATACAGCATGCTGTGAGGTAGAACAGAAGGTCCAGGTCCATCAATACAGCATGCTGCGAGGTAGAACAGAAGGTCCAGGTCCATCAATACAGCATGCTGTGAGGTAGAACTGAAGGTCCAGGTCCATCAATACAGCATGCTGTGAGTAAGAACATAAGGTCCAGGTCCATCAATACATCATGCTGTGAGTTAGAACAGAAGGTCCAAGTCCATCAATACAGCATGCTGTGAGGTAGAACAGAAGTTCCAGGTCCATCAATACAGCATGCTGTGAGTAAGAACATAAGGTCCAGGTCCATCAATACATCATGCTGTGAGTTAGAACAGAAAGTCCAGGTTCATCAATACATCATGCTGTGAGTTAGAACAGAAGGTCCAGGTCCATCAGTACCGCATGCTGCGAGGTAGAACAGAAGGTCCAGGTCCATCAATACAGCATGATGTGAGGTAGAACAGAAGGACCAGGTTCATCAATACATCATGCTGTGAGTTAGAACAGAAGGTCCAGGTTCATCAATACATCATGCTGTGAGTTAGAACAGAAGGTCCAAGTCCATCAATACATCATGCTGTGAGTTAGAACAGAAAGTCCAGGTTCATCAATACATCATGCTGTGAGTTAGAACAGAAAGTCCAGGTTCATCAATACATCATGCTGTGAGTTAGAACAGAAAGTCCAGGTTCATCAATACATCATGCTGTGAGTTAGAACAGAAAGTCCAGGTTCATCAATACATCATGCTGTGAGTTAGAACAGAAGGTCCAGGTCCATCAATACATCATGCTGTGATTTAGAACAGAAGGTCCAGGTTCATCAATACATCATGCTGTGAGTTAGAACAGAAAGTCCAGGTTCATCAATACATCATGCTGTGAGTTAGAACAGAAAGTCCAGGTTCATCAATACATCATGCTGTGAGTTAGAACAGAAAGTCCAGGTTCATCAATACATCATGCTGTGAGTTAGAACAGAAAGTCCAGGTTCATCAATACATCATGCTGTGAGTTAGAACAGAAGGTCCAGGTCCATCAGTACCGCATGCTGCGAGGTAGAACAGAAGGTCCAGGTCCATCAATACAGAATGCTCTGAGGTAGAACATAAGGTTCAGGTCCATCAATACAGCATGCTGTGAGGGAGAACAGAAGGTCCAGGTCCATCAATACAGCATGATGTGAGGTAGAACAGAAGGACCAGGTTCATCAATACATCATGCTGTGAGTTAGAACAGAAAGTCCAGGTTCATCAATACATCATGCTGTGAGTTAGAACAGAAAGTCCAGGTTCATCAATACATCATGCTGTGAGTTAGAACAGAAGGTCCAAGTCCATCAATACATCATGCTGTGAGTTAGAACAGAAGGTCCAAGTCCATCAATACATCATGCTGTGAGTTAGAACAGAAGGTCCAGGTCCATCAATACCGCATGCTGCGAGGTAGAACAGAAGGTCCAGGTCCATCAATAAAGCATGCTGTGAGGTAGAACAGAAGGTCCAGGGCCATCAATACAGCATGCTGTGAGTAAGAACATAAGGTCCAGGTCCATCAATACAGCATGCTGTGAGTAAGAACATAAGGTCCAGGTCCATCAATACATCATGCTGTGATTTAGAACAGAAGGTCCAGGTTCATCAATACATCATGCTGTGAGTTAGAACAGAAGGTCCAGGTCCATCAATACAGCATGCTCTGAGGTAGAACATAAGGTTCAGGTCCATCAATACAGCATGCTGTGAGGTAGAACAGAAGGTCCAGGTCCATCAACAAAAACTGAAGTTTCTAGGAACTACAGCAGTACATTTAATCGAGGACGCAGTTAGTCTTAAGAAGATTCAGATCCATTATCAAGGACTTTTTTGTCAATTAACCGGAATATTTCAGAGACGACACAATCTTAGGAGAAAGGGAAAAAGTTTCAAGCACAGAAGATTTATGTCTACGACACAATCAAAATGGACATACGATTTGTCTAGTGCCTAGGACTGTCAGATAACTAGAGCATTTCAAGGAAGACACAATCACTTGGGATCTGAACAGTGAGGACCTAGGACTGACGAGGACGTTCCATAGTAGAGATACGTAAAAATAACATACAATGTACATATCAAGAAGCATCCTGGATATCCAGGGTTACGCTCACTTTCGCTCTCTGCAACCCCTGGAATATGTCATAGCAAAATTAAAGGCTCAGTGTGTGCCACCTTGTTGATGAGACAAGAAGACTAGTTCGATCCTTTGATGTACTTCAAAAGAATTTCGTGGTCACGTAACGGTAAAAATTGACAGGCTTTGAAGTCGGGCGTCTCTCCTTTGTAATCTTCAAAAGACAGGTATCAGCCTAGCGATCGGACAGTATTTTTTTACCAGAGACCAATTCAATCAAATAGCTATGTTCGTGCCTTCAATTTTGCTATGACATATTCCAGGGGTGTAGTGAGCGAAAGTGAGCGTAACCCCTGAATATCGAGGATGATCAGGAAGTTCAGCCATAAAAACGGGTTAAAGTACTGTTAGTGTAGGATTATGTCACCAATGTACTAAATTATGAATAATATTAGGAAAATGCATATCATTCATGGTGAAAAACATTCATGGTGAAAATGTAAAATGATCCATATATATGTATTTGATCGTAAAACAGATAGGTTATTAAAAAATAACCACTTGCTTTTCAACATGTTTTGATTGGGCAGAGATAGTTTAGCTCTGCCCATCAGAAATATTAAGGGGGGAAAGGGGGGGGGGGGATATATTAAGGAAAATACCTGGTTGTTTCGGAGAAGGATCAGGGCAAGGAAATTAATACCTCTTTTTTAATGAAAAAGTTCTTCAAAAGTCTCAGGGCAGAGTGGTAAAAGATCACGATATATGTAATGAAGGTAGAGTATTGTTACACATAGCAAAGTAGTAAACCCTCATTCACAGATGTTCTGACAAAGATCAGTTCAAACGTTGATGATCATACACCGATGAACAGCAGTATCCTCCGACCTATTACATTCCTATACACAGCCCTAGAACATCCGAGAGGTCGTATAACCTCCAAGGGAGCATTTGTGACTATGCCAGGGAAAGCAAGGTTAAGTGTAATTGTTTGCAGGGGAACATGTAAGTACAGTTGTACCTGTAGGTAGTCGTCCTTGGTCCTGACGACTGTTGATTTGAATGTATGTACGTAACCACATCTTTACCATATTACCAAATATAGTGTAAAAATATCCACGATATAGATTAATGGGTATGTTGCTTTAAAAAAGCAATTTCATATATTAAATGATATTTTTGAGTCAAAATGTGTCGCTGCTCTCTTGTAACTAAACAGGGACAGTCTCGGCCACTAGTGAAAAGCTAACAAATATGTTTGGCCTTATAACAGGATACCGGATGTTACCTTTAATTCTATAAAAGGAACACTAAACCACGTGCCAGTATCTAAAAATAGCTTCACCTGGTCAGGGCACTCGACACCATGACACTATGAAACTATTACCCGACATATTCTACCATCTAATATTTCCAAGGATGATTCAAACACCAACATATTTACCATACCCGATTGTTGTTTTGTTCCAATGTGCATCCCAATGTCGGGATCAAGAACAAAAGTACTGAATCTGTGTGTTACTGTAACGAACTTTGTACAGTGCGCACACATGTCGGTGAGTAAGACAGACTTGTTATGAAAAATGGTCATGGCCGTGAGATAAAAATTGACAACAAAGATAGAACTGTCTGGTATATGGGAAGTGGGTTATCAGAAATAGGGCACGGTACATGCAATATATTATCTTGACCTCTGAAATAGATCAGTTACAAAATTGATGTAATCTCTAAGGTTTGAACTTAATAAATTGGTATTCGGTATATTTATTATCATGCAGAGTTTATAAGGAGTATCAATTTTCGTTCACGTGACCTTATAAAGTACTGCGGAAAATAGACTTATTCTCCGAAAAGCATTTCATTGTCAATATGTCTCGTTACCTACAGTACTTCTTTCAAATGTGAGAACAAAACAAATATACTCATTAGCCCATATAATTACATTTCATGATTGTCTCTTTATTTTGCTACATCCAAGAATGAAGTTATGAAGTGCACCAAAACTAGGTATCGGTAACCTGTTTTACCTGTTTATATCAAAGGACACTCCTCTTTCAACATTTTTTTGCAGTTTTCACACGTAAGTACGCCATTACAGTTATTATTTTTCACACCTGCTTCACCCTGTAACCACAAGCTAATATTTCATGCATCATTGTAATCGAAAAGAAAAAGAATTTATCGTGTAATTTGTGTGCCTTTTCAGCTAAATTGTAGAGACCTATATACTTTTCCACCTGTGAATGATGAAAGAAACCTTCATGTTTTCAT